GTGTTCGTGAGTCTGCGAACATTGCTGTTGGATACATGTGCTGGATGATTTTGTGTCACGCAGACTGGTAAGATAACCGTTTGATAGGGGGCACCGCGATGATTCACGGGGCCCCTCCTTGCTGTGGGAGCCGCTCTTTGAGCACTCCCTCTTTCGTCCGTGTGAAGGACGGTCGTCTACCTCCCGTGAAGTTAATACATCACCAAAACAGTCTCACCCGATAAATAAGTGGCGTAGGCCGCAAACAGTCGACAGACGTGTTGCTTTGTCCTGAAGGGACACATCTGAAGCGGTGGGCGAGAGCGTCGCCGCTCTCCCCCGTTGACGCTGACCGCTCGGCCTCCTCCTCCTGGAAACGCACCCCCCCCCCGACCCCTCAATCAAGCGCCCTATAGCGCCAGCCCCAACGCTCCTGCTCTTTGGCGGTTGCCCTCGTAAGATCAAGAACCCTCATATCCCCGCGCCCCACGTCTAGTTCTCGGATGGCCCTCGTGGTGAGTGGCGGCATGTTGGTCGATGGCGCGACGCCGGGCGGGCGACACGGGCGGCGATGGTGTCGAGGCAGGGGCCGGTGTGGCCGGTGGCGCGACGGTGGTGAACGGCGTGGCCGGCGGCGGGTGGCGGGGTGGCAGTGTACGGTGTGGTCGGTGGCGCGGCGGGTGTTGTACGTACGGCGGTTGTGGTGTGGCTACGATGGGCGGCGCCGCCGGCGATGATGGTGGTGTGGAAGTGGCCGGCGGCGCCTGTGGGGAAACGGCAGCGGGGAGAGAGGGAGAGCTGGCGAACGGCTGGAGGGGGAAAAGAGGCGGCAGAACGTACTCACTCAGGCAGGAACGGCGCTGCCGGCGCGGCGGCGCCACCCGAATCCCCCCCCTCGCTCGCCGGGGGCGGCAGCTGCGCCGGATACACGCACGTACGTGAGCTGGGTAACTTTTGAAGCACCATTAGTTCTTTTTCCGGCAGCCCCTGGCGAGGGGTCCGTGCCCTGAGATCCCTACAACCACTGATGATCCAGCTGGGACAGGCTACGAGCCAAGAGTATATATTTTGTTAGATAAAGGCTTATCCAACAGACTTCTCAGTCAGTCAGCCGCTGATTGAGTAGTCCAATGATAAGCCTTCATCTAACACACTTCCCTGGGTGTTGGTAGTTTCTTATCTTAAAGCTTGACATTTTGGTGCGCGGCATAGTCTAATACATAAACATCCGATCCGTCCGACTGATCACTTGTTGGGTAGATCGGGACTCGACGGTACGTTGGACCACATGCACGTGTATCCAGCGTCTCGAACTGGTGTTGTTGTGGCCAGCTGAGGGGGGGGTTGCGGGATGCAGATTCAAGGGCGTTTCCCCTTTGTTTGATCTGCACCAAAGCTTCGGTTTCCCGAGGAGATTTAGACTAGTCGAATTTTCATCTTTGGGAAAAGCACATATTTATTATTTTCCCTCCTCCGTAGGTTCCCTTGTATGTAGGAAGAATGGATGCAATATCTTCCAGCACTTTTTTTCATCACCCGGGAGAGAGTAGGGGTGGGTCTCGTCTTGTGGCACAAACGTTCCCAAGGACGCGTGGCCTAAATAGTTCACCCGACGTCAACGATAATAGTGCCCCAAGGCGTACGTGGATTGGTGCGCCCCATCATACATTATTAGCAGTCGGCAAGCATGTAGTGTGTCGACAACAAACGGTAGAGGTATCGACATTCTTTCATGTTAACTCACAGTTTTTATACTACATATATTGCCCTGCTTTGCAAGGCTGCCTCCAATCCGTGGTCCGATTTCCTTTGATCCTTTGAACGGATTGGATTTCGTGCGTGACGGTGTGGCGCAGTATTAATTTCTTTGTCTAGATACTGCAAGTACGGGAAAAAAATGGGAGCGACGAGAGTGCCAGCCTTCCTTGTGCGCTGGTTAGCGCCTGTCTGGTGGTTATGGATGACGAAAAGGTGCGTTTTGGAGCGAGCGATGACCGGCTGTGCTTCACACGCCTGCCTATCTGTCCGCTGTGCAGCTCTGCTTTCGTACGTTGTCTCTGGCGTAAGTGGGACTACCTTGCTTGTGTGCAGGGGTCGGTTGTCCCATACGCTGGTTCTCTTATCCTCACGGGATCTGTCGGTGCCGTCGTATGTGCCGGGTGACATTATCACCACAGGGGGGGCACCCTGCAGCAGTACCAATCGCTAAATATCTCTCTGCGCCCACTGCCCCCCGGACACACACTACTACTGCACCAACACATGAGGCATGATGAGCATAATTAACCAGCAGATGACGGGTATGTGGCACAGGTGAGCCGAGGATTGGCCTTCGGGAAACACTGGTTCTCGGAAATCAGCGATATCATTGCGTGCGGTTTCTGGCTTATTATAATGTTTTCCGGAGGGGTCCAGGGGAGACCAGGCTTAGTGTCTGAGCGTGTGCCATAACAACGTTAACTCTACCCCGTGCCCGCCAAAACCACTTTGCCTTCAGCAACCGCCGCAACGACCCCTCAACAGACCAGCTAGTCCCATACGACTAAAGAAAATCTCGCACGTCTGCTGGCACGTTGTCAAAAGCATCCGTTCAGATAACACACCCTACGCCTTCGGGACCCCGTTCTTTTACGGTGAAAACGCAGGATGAGCCATCAACGACTGCACGAGTAAATAACGTTTCTAACTACAGGTGTGTTCCAAGGAAGCATCATGTGCCTTCTTTGAGCAACGAAATACACGAAATGAACCCATGCAAGTCGCCACGTCAGCCTAAAAAACCAGACGAAATCCATCCAGGGTTCGTTACATGTGGAGGGTCACTTTGTACTGAAAATAAAAACGACATCCAACAGACACACGTGCATCCGTTCTTTCCTTGTTCTCATACCAGTGCAGTGCTTACACCCATCAATTCTTTCTCTCAAGGAACGAACACGTATGCAACGCAGCAGTACGCGGCACGCTTGTTGCGTTGTCTCCCTTCTATGTACAGATCGATTTACGGTCAGGCTTCGTCGCAAAGCCGACCCCATTCCTCCCATTCCGTTTAGCCGAGGATGTCGGCCGGGTTGACCAGCTCCTGCACCAACATGCCGGCGATGCCGATCATGGCGAGGCGCCCGTTGTTAAGCTCCTTGGTCTGCATCTTCTCCAGGCCCGCCTGGTCCTTGGGCTTGAGGTTGAGGGGGTCGAACCCAAGGTCTCCCGGGCTGTACTCTTCCCTGAGGCCGCCCTCGCCGGTAACGGGGCTGGGCTCAGCATATGCCTTGGTGATGGTGTTGTACTCGATGAAGGCCATGCCGAGGAGGGAGAAAACCCAGAACTGCAGTTTGGGGGCGATCACGGCCGTGGGCGCAAGCGTGGGATATACAAGGGCCCGGTGGTTACATTTTTTATTACCACAAGGCATCGGGGCTTGATCGCGGTTACGCATACCCACGGAGACACGGGCATTCCCCCAGGCATGCTCCGGCATGATGTTACAGAAAGCGCTTGACCTGATACAGGAGACATGTGCAAAACACCCAACCCACGCAGCGATGATGGGTACGTATATCGTTTCCACTTGCTCATCAAAGCCCAGAGTCGAAAGTCAGAAAAGGCCACGGCCCGCTGATCATGTAGCTCGAGAGTGTGAACGTTGCGATCATCGCGCATCACGTGGTCAACCAACTTGTTTTATTTGTTGTCGTCCTGTAGATGACAGGTGTAGAAGTTCTGTAACCATTGTTGTCGCACATGCAAAAGTAGGACCAAGATACGATCCGAACGGAGGATCATACTGATGGTTGATCAGCCAGAGACCCGACTATGGATGCGTCCCTCTTGGCGCCACCTGTGAAGCTTGGGGATCCGAAACCTCGGGCTTGGTCTCCCTCGCCCCTTCAACGGCACTCTCTCTTTTGTCTCTCTCTTCTGAGACCCTCTCCTCTCTAAATCTCAACGAAGAGGACTGCCAGCCCTTAGTAATGGGTAAAGACTACTGCGACCTGTTCCTCCCCCCAACGAGGCAAGCCTGTGTCCTTAGTCCAGTTTTTATTTTTCCCTCGTGAAACACGACGTATTGACAAAAGAATATTATTGCGTTAATCGCTAGGTAAAGCCCCAAACTCTTGTACCCATGGGTAGAGATTACTTTCCTCTAGACACCCAAAAAGGCTTACCGAATGAACCCCACTCCTATCCATACTCGGCAGGTACAGCTATGGTGGTGTCCCACTCGGTAGGTATGGTGCTGCCGCCCTCCGTCCTACTCACCCTTCTCCCTTTTTCGATTGTAGTGTGAGCGCCCCCCGCACTTGCGGCAGTAACTTGTTCGTATTTTGTGTACATAAAATGAGGGTGACCTATTTCAGTCCGCATGTCACTGTATACACATGTCCGCGTACCGTACACATACTGCAACCGCCCAGATGGTTGTTTGTCATCTCACGCCCGGGGAGATTCCCCGGTAGCGTGTCAGTGCTGTACCACGTCAGCACGCCAGCACAGACTATGTCTGCGTCACCGCCTAGTCAGGTCGGTTCTGCATCATCAGGGCTGCGGAGTGGTGTGCTGTGTACACCCCTCTTCACCCCTCCTCTGTCACTCTTCTTCTTCCCCTCTCTTCCCGGAGACCACACCGTTCGCTCTTCCTAGATAACTACTCCTGTCCCGCAAGTCTGTACACTAGCGGCTCCCCACCGTCGCTCCGGAAGTCTCCTCTGGTTATACAGTCGAGAGAAGGTTCAACCCCTTCCGTCGGTCTGAGATACGTCACCCTCATCTGGCGTCAGGGAGCTGGTTTCCACCTGAACTGTCCTATCTTGACCATGTCTTCAGAGCTCACCGAGCAGCAGCTCCTCGAGCAACACCAAACGCTCGAGCTCCGGCCGCTATACGGTGGACGTTGGGGGGTGTGAACCCTTAATTTTCGATGTGGCCGCCGGAAGGAAGGTCACGTGGTTCAGCGACGAGGGGGGGAGCCAGTTGTGGGTCCGCCGGCGGGACGTCGTCGGAGGCAGGAAGTCTCCGGCGAAGTTAAGGTTCTCGAGCGTTTGGTGTTTTGCTCGAGGAGCTACTGCTCGGTGAGCTCGGAAGACATGGTCAAGATAGAACAGTTCAGGTGGAAACCAGCTCGCTGACGCCAGATAAGGGTGACGTATCTCAGACCGACGGAAGGGGTTGAACCTTCTCTCGACTGTATGACCAGAGGAGACTTCCGGAGCGACGGTGGGGAGCCGCTAGTGTACAGACTTGCGGGACAGGAGTAGTTATCTAGGAAGAGCGAACGGTGTGGTCTCCGGGAAGAGAGGGGAAGAAGAAGAGTGACAGAGGAGGGGTGAAGAGGGGTGTACACAGCACACCACTCCGCAGCCCTGACGACGCAGAACCGACCTGACTAGGCGGTGACGCAGACATAGTCTGTGCTGGCGTGCTGACGTGGTACAGCACTGACACGCTACCGGGGAATCTCCCCGGGCGTGAGATGACAAACAACCATCTGGGCGGTTGCAGTATGCGGTACGCGGACCGCACGGAAAGATCCGCAGAGCAAGCGGAGGAACAGTTGGTCAGGGGACCTCGAGCAAAACGTACGTACAACTACACCAGAGACTCACATAAAGTTTGGATTTTTTGGAGGACATGTCCAATCTATCCGAGAGTCCGAGGAAACTAGCAAAGTCTATTAACGATACAACAACAATGCCCAGTTTTCTGGCAAGGCAAGGTCTGACGTGCAACTGGATGGCCTGCCCTCGGTGTAGGCGTGGTAACATATATCATTAATCCATCGGTGGCAACGGGAGGCAAACACGAAACGGTCCATCTTTCACCTATGGCAGGCGGGATACCTTCACAGATCAGCATTACTCAATGGTGCCTGCATGCCACGGGTTGATCACGTAGGCAAATACATTTCATCTTACAAGAGACCGATTTGTGAGTACAACCACGGTACCCATGTCACCGCCGAAAAAGACATTCTGAATAATTATACCATCCGACGGCAAGGAAAACAATTGCACTACTGTCTAGCATTAATGGACGACGCTGCTTTTGATCTGTGAGTCAAAGCGGTTGCGCCTCAGCGCTGGATTCGCGGCACCTTTTGTTTGTTACACTGATTTACCTCGGGGAATCTCGCGCTGATCTCCTGGAAGTGGTCCACTGCAGGGCCGATGTAGTCGGGGCCCATGAAGAGAGGGTGGTATTGCTGGAGTAGGCAAGTGAGGAGGCAACGGTGTAGCAGGGAAGGGGTGAGAAGGCACGACTCCGCCGAGTTACGCACTCTACTAACGCCAGAAGACATAAATCTATTGGCCGCCATTTAAGGCGACGTAACCTTTTCACGCGAAATTATGCCTAAAACCAGTCTTTCGCATGAAACAATTTATATGTCGGACAATACGATACGTAACGCTTATTGGTGCAGTCAATATATGTACTGAAAAAATTCACATCAATTGATATCGTTTGGTTCAATATGTGAACAATACATCTATCGAGGTGTATTGCTTGCATCATTTATTTGTGTTTCGCCGATTGCGAGCAATACGTGTTAAATTTCCAATAAGGTCGAAATAAATCATTCCACATGTATTGCTCTTGCCGATGGGTTCGAAGACAAAATTGCAAAATGCGTTGAGACGGTTTGGCAAACATCGCTCCGATATGTGTTGCTTCTACCGATCGATACGTTCGGTTTTATTACACCGATAGGGTATTGTTCGGCAATACGGCGCCGCGGAAATCGATACGTTCCGTTGAACACATATGTTTCGTATCGATGAATTCAGTTGTAAACGTATTACGCGGACAAAAGGTATTGGTCGCTATCGTGTTCAACATGTTGTTCCTACAAAATATATCGATCCAAGTCAGCAAAGAAGGTGTTGTATCCCCGATCGTCCATTGACGGACAATACCGAAGTATCCCGATCGAAACGATACGTATCGATAGACTTGTAGCTAACCTGTTGCGTGGGCAAAGAGGTACCATTGTTTCCGTTGCTCTATAATCTATTGCTGCTCACAATACATATCGATGCACCTGGAATCAACATACTGCTGTGGCAGCAAGAGGTATGTGGGGCCAATAATCAACTATTACTACATGTATTGCCCAGGGTGTTAAGACCAATAATCAATTAATACATGTGTTGTCCAGGGTGTAAGTGTAAGGGCACTCTGTCGGGCCCACGATAGGCTATTTTCCTCGTGTCCTAAACCTTCTGGCGCCTACAACATCTGTCTATCTATGTGTTGTGCTTGTGCAACAATCGTTTCCCATCGCCTCTAGACTACTTGCTTGACATGCACATACGATGAAAATTCAGAATCGAACACATTGGGATCCGATATGCATACGAGATCATGATATGTTAATAACTCTGCCCCCCAGCGTTTCGAAGCATTGTACCGCCACCATTGCACCACCAACAGATAGATACCGACAGGACAAATCATGCTCCGAGCTGCAATGGGCGTGCCCGTATCGATACGTTTGTCAGGGCAATCAATCGGGGACAGTGCAACGATACGTATCAGGGGAGCAATAGACAACATGGACTGTGTTAGATATTACCAAAGGCAACACATCGTTGTTATGTGTATGGATACATGACATGTATCGAACACATTTTTGCGTTGATATATTTCATCAAATTGCCCTGAACAGCACCCTTTCTGCACGTCGAACGACATACGTTGGCCCTTGTAATGCGTTGTGAAAGGACATGCTATCGTATCTCGTAGCAAGCAGCAGGTCCACAAACTCTCAGTATACGTATTTCCCCGAACGATACATTGTGCAGGGAATCGTCAATGCGTTTTACGGCCACGCATACGTGACGTATTACAATAGGAACGTATCGATATCCATCGACTCTGTAGACTGTTAGCGCCCGCACTTAAGAACTAAGCAGTTAAGACATTGAGACTCGAAAAAAATCAGAAGCTAAGAACTTGAGCACCATTAGTGAGCTCGGTTAAGAACCCTACACTACCACCTATATAGCGGCCATTTGTAGCCCACAAGAGGATGATCAGCAAAATAAGAACCCCAGCCTCGGCCGAAATTAGAGGTTCGTAAGTGCGGGCGCCTCTGTGTTGTCCATGTGTGATTGAAAGGTACCAACTGAATATTCTTCCAGCCGCATAGGAGCGGACGAATACATATATGCTTGGTTATTGACGCAGAGAAAAGGACATGTCATGCTCTAATGACATGAGTAGGGGGCAAGAGCCCGTGGTGTTCTGCCGCACGAGTATGCTCCGAGTTGAACTCGTGAAGATACGGTTGCTTGCTATCTACTACAACACGCTCCATTTGGTTCCCGCTTTGGTCTGGACTAGATATGTGGAAAAAAAATCTTGCCTCCTTTTTTCGGGCCGCCTCTGTCCGTACAAGTCGGCGGAGTTCAAGGCAGGACTCATGGATGTACGCATGGCATGTCACTCCAGGAAAATCGACGCTCCATCGCTCTGCGCTGTCCTTTTGCGCATGCATTCGGTGCATATTTTGACAAAGCGTTGTCTCGCCCAACACAACACCACCTTCTTTCCGAAAAGGTACGCACGGCGGCAGATAGCTTGCGAGGGAGGTGCCTTTTCCTCCTCCAAGAACCGCAGACAGTCGTGTGTTTGGATCGTACCTCGGCCACAATGACACCAACCGCCGCGAGCATAGCCACACGCCCGTGCTTGATTTCGGCCTCGCGCCAGAGCTTGATCTCTCCAGGTTCAGCGCCATCGGCCAGCCCGAGGGGGTCGAAGATCTGGCGGGTTCAACGATCGAAAGAACACGGAGAGCCAGCACGCCAGAAAAGAACGGCGGGAGGATCCTGTTGGAAATCAGCCACCCCACAGCCGCTAATAACCCACCAGGCGGAGAGGCAAGACACTCCTCAAAACAAACTTGGCAGAGATCTACCATGCCCAACGGAAGTGTTGACTCCTACAGGTCCACGTCTGCGACAACGTGCACTCACAGATGTCTTACGTGCGTGCAGGAATTCGTCTGCGCATCTAGTCTACATACAGGCCTTTCGAATATGAGGAGACATGGGTCAACCATCTGCAAAGAGCACGGCAGCAGCAGAGACAAGTCCTATTCACAACTGACTGGCTGTGGAAAGGACCGTGCGTGTGTGCGATACCTTTCCATCGCCGAAGGGAGCTCCCGGCAGTGTTGCAACGTAGTCCGATCCAGCGCTCATCTTGAGGGCCGAAGCGGAGGACGCGGGCTCCGCAGATCGCACGGCCATCGGCGCGACGAAGGCAGTCGAAGAGGCGATGAGGGTGGCGGCAGTGGCGAGGAACATGTTGGAGGAGGCAACCATTTTGTTTGGGGTTGAAAGAGTGGAGAGAGAGGAAGGAGAGAAATTGTGAGCGATGGGGGAAGGGAGGCGGGTGTCAAAGATGGGGTGATTTCGTGTGAGCAAGAACCTTTGGCGACGAGATGTTTCTACGGAGAACCGCATCAACGGAAAAATTGTGAACTGAAACCTGAAACTGCGGTTGATGTTGTTGTTGATTTCATGTCAGTTGCTGATCCCAAAATCTAGAATTGACTCGGGCCGTGGTCACAAAAAAAATTAAGGAGAAATATAGTCTATACACGCACAGAAAGACTACCCATTCGAGATATACCCACAGTCGAACGGGATGGGGTGGAGTCTTTTCAGTAAGTGGAGGAAAACCGGTTGGGTACTGGACTTATTTCGAGTCTTTTGCTAGCGCCATCAGAAGATCTAAAGAACACGCGCACTACTAGCAAGAAAAGGGTACACAAGCCCGAGGAGGTACACCTACAATCCCTGCAGCACATTTGCGTGCTCACAACTGAATGAACTACACGCCCACACACTACAAATCGACTACAGCAGCAGCATCACCCCCCTTGTCCCGCACTTAACCAAAATGAATGTCGACTAGACTACTACTGCTGTTGATGTGCTGTCTGTACAATAATAACACCATGGTGCATGGTACCCAAACTCGGGGCAGGCAGCTGCTGTCTGAAGTGCTGCCAGAATGAGTCCGTGGATACAATCAATGAAGAAGAACAACCAACCAAGCCATCATTGCAGTTGACAATAATATTATTATAATAGTCTACCCGAATCTATCCAGATTATCTGTGTTCGACACAGCAGTAGTGTTGCGTAAACTCGAAACAGTCACGCTGCGGCAGGCCCAGCCAATAATCTGTGAGGGTTTATATTTGGAATAAATACCCCGCGGCTGGACGAATCGCAGAATACCCCCGGCGGCTCCTGGTCTCGTGACTTGTAGGGTGCAGGGAATGGCGACGAGTCTCAACCCTAATTAGCCTTTTATCACAGGCCCACCCGCTCTGCTGGCTATGAATTGCCACGGCGTGTCGTGCCGTGTCTGACGGCTGTCTGACGCATAACATGTTCGGGCACGTCACAACAGCAGCACGAATACTATGCGTACGGCCGAGAACTTTGCGCATCATAACATGTTTTCTGGCTCACTCACATCACAGACAATCTCGCCGTATCGTCACAAACCCACGCTTCACCCCCATCGTCCCACAACCGCAACACACCCTCATCCCTCGTCCCAATAGCCAATCCCCCAACACACACTCTACCAACTAAGCAAGATGGTCGCCTCCCAGATGTTCCTCGGCACTGCCGCCACCTTCATCGCCTCCTCGACTGCCTTCGTCGCACCGATGGCCGCGCGATCTGTTGCCACTAGTCCAGTCCGTCCTCCTCGAGCCTCGAGATGAGTGCTGGATCGGACCACGTTGCGACCCTGCCCATAGCTCCCTTCTCTGACGGAAAGGTGATGATGACGTCTGTGTGGTCGCCTGAGGAACACCCAGGGTGTAAGCTCTAGAGTATCACCCGGGGTCGTGTACTGCTCTAGAGTATCCTCAAAGTCGTTGTCTCTTGCGACTTCAGGGCTTTATCCGAATGGTGTCGTCGTCAGTGCTCATGTGGATTTGCTCTTGTGGACTGCTGTACATGTACCGACGCAACACGTGAGGTAATAGGTATGGGGGGGTAATAAGCCGCGTGGTGTGACTCAATACCTTGCAGTTGCTTATCTGCGATGCTGATGGTGCACGAATCCCGACGCACGCCAGCGGGAATCGTTTGTGGTGCAGCTACGCGTGCACCACAGAGGGACAGCAGGCGTACGACGGGAGCGACGATGGTTGTATGTGCGGCCAATGTTCAAAACTTAAAATACATAGTCTAGACAGCAGTTGCTTCTTTCCGTTTTGATGTACATGCACGAAGAAACAAAATGTGAAGTCTTCCCTCTGTGCGGACGCAGACACACACGTACGTACACATGGGCATCCGGAAGAAGCACGCATGCGGCATACACCTGGCGGCGAGCGTATCACGCATCACACCGTCGAGGAGCACGACCAGCAGCGTAGACATAGGATTGTGACACAACAGAGGGCAAATATTGCGTCAGGCTCACAACTTGCCCGCCATAGTCTATTCGTCGCTAGTCTAGCCTTCCGCCCCCTTGGTGAAAGCAAGCAGTCCAGCATGAACCAAAAACAACAAAGCCCGTTGATGGTCATGTGACGTCACGGCTTTCATGCGAGAGGCCCGCCTGCAGCAGCAACAACAGCAAGTAGGTGTGATCTGGACTTGGGAAGGTGTATTATTTGTGGGATCAGTTAATTGTGATCATCGGTCTGCTCTTTTTGGAGCAGTCAGTCGGTTGTGGACCCACTCAACATCAATAAACACCCGCCAGGTTACACATGGCGCATGCCTACAGTATATACCCACGGTGCACAGGTCGTATAGGGCTGGCCCCTCCTGGCTTTCATAGCTGGTCTTAGATCAGCGTCTCAGCGGTGCATCTCTCTGTATGTCGGTGTTTCTTTTCCTAGTTTCAATCGCGCGCGCGCGCGATCTCAGCTTTTGTGCACGCCTTTTCGCGTAGAAACCCCGGGTTGGGGAGCAAGATCTCCTACGAAATTTGGGCACATATGCCTGTGAAGCACGGCCGTCTGTTGCCGAAGCACGACCAAACCGGCGTGACGAAGAGCGCGCTATTTTTCTTCTTTCTCAAAAGCAAACAAATCGTCAATCGGTGCCCTATAGATCTCGTTCTGGATCCAAAGGTGGGCTATATCGGCTTCCCGGAAACCAAGTGTTGCGGCCCCTGTATCGCGCGGCGCAACTTTGGCCGATATATAGAGCCTTTTTTTCCCTCATGGGGACGACGAGAAAACACTCGCGCTTCACGCTCCGCGGCTCATTCTATTGACATGGACAGATGTGACGTGAATGCCTTGTATTTTAGGTGAGCGGAGACATGCAAGTGCAGATCCACGCGCATGTATGTCAGTACGATAATATTATGTGGCTTTCGCGCATCCAACAGCACGTATTCATTCGTCGTCGATGCACCTCTCAACCCATCGATCTGTTGTAATGCCGCGATGTCCAAGGTATCCTAACCACAACGCAGAGATTGAGAGTCGACACATCAATCACGTTGCCGTACCTCTGCACATGTAAGGATTTTCCGTGACGAAGTTGTCTCACCCGTCGCGGTCTTCGATCACCGCTGTCCCAACGCTCTCTCTCTTGTCTAAGATCCTCGACCCCCTGGGCCTATCCGACGGCGCTGCCCCCGGCGACATTAAGAAGTGGCGTGAGACCGAGATCAAGCATGGGCGTGTGGCGATGCTTGCGTCCCTCGGTGTCATCGTCGCAGAGGTGCGGCAAGCATCACCCGTCAATATATTTGCAAACGCTGGACATGAAGCTTCAGAAAGGGTGGCATGTGTTTTGTTTTCTCCAGCGACACTACAATCCTACTGTGTAGACACAACACCCAATCGAGTCCACGTTGCTCAATATTTTCGTCCAACCGCATTGCATTGTGTTCGCTTTCGTCTGTCGCCTCTGGATTCTTCAGCAATACCACCCTTTCTTCATGGGCCCCGACTACATTGGTCCCGCTGTGGACCACTTCTAGGAGATCAGCGCACAATTCCCTGAGGTGAGACTGGGTGTTCGGGGAAACACATTTGGTTGGATACTCGCTGATGATATTTGAGACGAAGACGTGTCGGATAACACCAGCCGACTCTGTCTGCGACTCTGTTCAAATCACATGTACACCAGCGCTCGAGAAGTTACAAGCACGTGGTTCCAGCATCGAATTTCCTATCTTCCCCCTCCAACACCGAAAACTAGTCGAAGGGTGGTATAATCCCACTCTCACCAGAGCAAGACACCATCTGCACACTTCGAAAGAAAACATTGCTAAAGTTGTTCACATTGCTGTGTCGCCACCGTTCTGATATTAGTTGGTTGACCAGCCTGTTGTACTAAGTCCTCCGCAGATTGTCGGGACTCATCACGTGCCCTTCTTCCGCAGTACCTACTCGAGTGTTGTTCCTCCTGGCACAAGGATACGGTACTGTCCACTGTGCCACCCTTCCCACGACACCATGTGGTTGACGAGTGCCTTTTCTTCGCAAAACCATTCCCTCTCTGTATTTCTCTGCCCGTCCTTCCCGTGTCTCCCCAACCTCAGTTCTGGGTGTTCTCCCTCCTGGGCATGGCCTTCATCGAGTACAACACCATCATAACCGCCTTCGACACCCCCAGTGCTCTGACCGGCGAGGGCGGCCTGAAGGAGGACTACATGCCGGGAGACCTCGGCTTCGACCCCCTCAACCTCAAGCCCGACGACGTGGCGGCTCTGGACGTGATGAAGACCAAGGAGCTGAACAACGGCCGTTTGGCCATGATCGGCATCGCCGGCATGATGGCGCAGGAGCTGGTCAACCCGGCGGACATCCTCGGCTAGATTGTATTACTTTTGTCGGTTGGGATTGTCTGGGTGTATGAATCAAGTGTGCTGGTGTGCTGTGAGTGTTTAATGCATCGGCCTGGTCCGAGAGGATGGAAGGAAGTTGGGAGGTGCTACCTACCATTTTGTTACGGCTTTTTCTCGCGATCTCAGATGCTGGTGCGATACGGATGTTCCTTCATGCTTACGTTTTCGGCTGTAATTTGGTGTTGTACCGAAGGATTGCTAAGTGTCGACGGTTAGACTGGCCTTGCATTCTGTTCTTCGATGCATACCACCGATGGTGATGTCGGCGGAAAGAAGAATCTGTGTCGTTGTTGTCATTATGGTGAGAAAGTTTGCGTGATGTTGTTTAGCCGAGGCTATTCCCGCCCAGACTCAAGAATAAATTTGTCTCATATTTTCCCATTAGACGAGCTTCGCCATTTGGCTGTTTCCGTTGTAGCATGTCTTGACGGTCCTGGTGCTGTCGAAACTCGAAAGGTCGAACTTGAAAGCGACAAATGAGTAGTTTTAGCATAGAGTGTTGCGCCCCGGAATGTCGTGTTTGCGAGTCTGACGTGTGTGGTGAAAAGAGAGTGTAGCACTTTCCACGTGTGTAGCCAAAGCTTTCGTACACGCTTGCCGGCTCGCGGTGTGATCGTTGGTTTGTTGCACCTGACACGGGCGTCTCACCTTGTAGCTTGCGTGCAGTGGCGTCCAAGGTGTGCCTTGTCGAGTTGTTGTGCGACGCGTGCACCATTGGTTCGATTCTGTTGTGTGTTTGAGTATCATCAGAGGGATGTTCCATCCAGGTGATGACTCTATTGATTTCGCTAGTTGCTGTCGTGCTGTCAATCGAAGAATGAACGAAAACATCCCCGTCTTAGGTGACACCTGCTGGTGACAGCAGTACTTGGATGCTTGGTGGCGGAGAGAAGCATGCTGCCCCCCACGAGCAACTTCAACAGCTCTCGACAGTTTCATGGTCTAAAGCATACGCACTCGTAAAACGATGCACGCATGGTGACCGTCGACGGACTCGTAAAACGATACAAGCATACATGTGCCCTCACTGACACCATCTGACCCGTTATACCACGGCCCATGTGGTTCGGAGAACACCGGCATCGCGTACCAGCAACATTCCTGATATTCAAAAAGAAGTGCATTAGCTTCCGAATATGTCAACCCACAACACGGAAGTATGATTCCCGGGTGCGATGGCCATCTCCCCATCCCGGGTGAGATGGCCATCTTCCCATTCACGCATGGAGGAAGTCCCATCTCTCATCATGATGAAATCTGGAAAGCGGGCGCAGAGTTAGGCGAAGGCTTCAATCAGATGCTGAGATAATGCGTTAAGTATTCCCATCCTCCCATCGATAACCACTACATACACTGTCGCCTGGCCTTATGTAGTGCAGGCAAAAGGCGCCAGCCAGCCTTCTTCCAAAACTGTTGACTACAGCAGTACGTTGGCCTACCGAAAACTCACTAATTGGGTTCGACATGGATGGATGCCGATGGAATTGCATTTACGACCCAATGCTTGGACGTACTACGAAAACGAGCCCAAGGGCATGTCTTGGGTGGTGTGGAATTAGATCCAATCACCGTTCTCATCCTTTTTGACCCGAGTTTGATCGTCTGTACCCCGGTAATTTTTCTTTTTCGTTTGGAAAAATACAAATTACGTCCTGGAGGTCCTTTCTGAGCTTTATTTTCATTTATGTTATTTCTAGAAAGGTGCACCCCGTTCTAGGGTGGGACCAGTACGGACGTTGGAAAAGGTACTGGGCGGAGACCGTAGCGGTTTTTAATTGTGAAGACAACAACAGCAACAACCGAACCGTTCTCCTCATATATTGTGCACCACGAGACACACCCGAAGAGATGCTGCGTGAGCACATTTAGCTCTTTTCAATGAATGAACAAATAATATGAGGATGAGGGTAGGGAGGCCGGAAGGTGAGCATCTTACGTAGAACTTCTCGTCATGGTTGGTTCTTGTTCGCTCGAACCATCCCAGCTGCCACACACCTTCCAACCCCCCTTCCCCCATCCCTCACAAGCTTCCGTCTACAATAGTAGTAGTAATATCCCCATTGCCTGCTCAGAATCTCGTCGGGTGCTGTGGCAGTTATCTGTCTATGCGTAGGGGTATGCTACGAAAAATATGAACAATCTATTTTGATCGCTCCCGAACCCCCCCCGCCCTTTGCCATCGGGGTTGGGTTTTCGTCGCTTGGCAACGACGTTGTAAAACAAGCCGCCCCCCCCGGTGTTTGCCATCGGGGTTGGGTTTTCGTCGCTTGGCAACGACGTTGTAAAACAAGCCGCCCCCCCCGGTGTTTGCCATCGGGGTTGGGTTTTCGTCGCTTGGCAACGACGTTGTAAAACAAGCCGCCCCCCCCGGTGTTTGCCATCGGGGTTGGGTTTTCGTCGCTTGGCAACGACGTTGTAAAACAAGCCGCCCCCCCCGGTGTTTGCCATCGGGGTTGGGTTTTCGTCGCTTGGCAACGACGTTGTAAAACAAGCCGCCCCCCCCGGTGTTTGCCATCGGGGTTGGGTTTTCGTCGCTTGGCAACGACGTTGTAAAACAAGCCGCCCCCCCCGGTGTTTGCCATCGGGGTTGGGTTTTCGTCGCTTGGCAACGACGTTGTAAAACAAGCCAATTCACTTCGTGAACTCGGCAACCAGGTTACCGTTTTTTTTTTTTACCTCCGTTTTTTTTTTTGGCGGTAACCATAATGGTGGTCGAGTAGATCATGTTGTGCGGGGTGGAGAACCCTCACTCCGCGCAAGGGGGATGATCGCACCACGTTGTGTTAAAATGGTCAAGCACCCTCGAGGCAGTTACACAGTGCTTACAACTGTCTCTGGAAGTGAAAGCACCAGAAAATAAATTAAGTCATACGCAGCTGTCATCCGTACGCAAGGAAGTAAGCACAAGATGCCGAAAACCCTTAGCAGGATGCAGCGCACCCTTCATGCGACTCGCCGAATATCTCACGGCGCTTCGCGCTTGGTGATGTGAGAGCCTGGTCCGGTGAGAACCCGGCGTGCTCCGTCCCGGCTTTGTAGGGATGCGAGGTCAATGGTCTAACGACTACGGCATGCACGACTACTAGTATGAGTACACCCCGAACCATGTACTACAGAACAGGAATACATCAAAGGGGGAACGACGAGAGGTGGTGAGACCTTGAGATAATTCTCGTCCATCATCATGGATAGCTTCTAGGTGTACGAGCGAAGAAGGGTGTGTGCTGGTGCTTCCGATCGATGCCGTGCGTTGCCGACGACTCTGTTGCGGCCGATTTGTAGGCCTATGCCTTATCCAGCATTTTTCAGCCCTCCGTGTAGGATAGAGCTTTGGGGTGGATATTTGACCGGCGGCAGATAACCCGATGGCAAAGTCCCTCTATTGGTTACTTTTTCTCCACAAGGCAACCCCTAAAACCCAGCACTTCCAATCAACACATGGCCGAACATGCGCAACACGGAAAAAGCACTAGAAGGCCTTTTCCTACTCGTCCGTGAAGGCCCAAAATCCACGAAAGGCTCAATGCATACAGTGGTAGCATGGTTCCAGCATTGATGCACTGATGTCCCGAAAGCGACCTTCCGGTACCTGTAGACACCCACACTTCTTGTAAGTCAAACGCTTGTCTAACTAGGCCAGAAACAATGGCCACGAAGGTGAATGGGATGATGACTATTCTCAGTTCGTATTGGGGGCGTAAATACGTCAACTTTGGGGGCGTAGATATGTCAACCTTCGAGCCTTCGCCGAATGCCGTGAGCGTCTTCCATACTTGCTATAGAGATTTGCCCACCACCGACAGAAGAGAGGAAAACCACATTCATTTGCCTTCAGTGCACGTTTACACGTTTGTGCATGGTGACAAGACAGTAAAATGGCCATCACAGCAGGTTCCTGCTTATGGGATACGAAGTGAAGACGCAGCTTCTACTTGTGTTTGCCGGTATGGCATGCCGATATCCTCACACGCTAGTCAGTGGGGACGGTACGGGCAGAAATGGCGGTCGGTGAGGGCAGATGCATGCATGATGCAGACATGCGTTTTTTCACGTACTGCCGCCAGTAGGTGTCAACGGCTGGTGGCGCCTGGGGGTAGGTATCTCGCCCCTCAACCATTGACCGTGATGTAGTGTCACCAGAAGGTATCACGTGACATGGACGTTTTCGTCAAGTTTGTATTCGATTGTTCGTATCACAAAAGCACTATATATCGCCGACGCCATTCACTCTGCATGACAAAGTCGAGACGTTGTCACTTGACGACATCCAAACACCCTACAAAATGCACTCGGGGCGTAGCACACCATCTCGATGCGATACACCTCGGACACCACTGCACGCAGGATACAAAGTGGGACATCGGTGCCAGGTGCGACAAAAAGAAACAACCACTCCACTTTACACAAATCATCTATTACAACAAATACCTTCACGAGCTCCTATAAAATATACTCCCGACGATCAAACCAAGAGGAGGCAAGTATGTACGAAAAATTAGCTACAACCCTGAACGTGCTGCCATTCTCTTGTTACCACACACGTCAAACTCGCAAACGCGAGATTTGGGACGCTAGAATACGACACACAACGCATCTTATCTTTTCATCACGTCCCATGCTCGACCTTCCAAATATCGACAAGAGAGGTATCGTGGGTGTAGGTAGCAGTCCGTCTCGGACACTAGAATCGATTAGAGATTGTAAACCACGAACAGCCAACTCGCGAGGCTCGTCCAAAGAAAAAGACAGCTCTAGCAAAACCTGTCGCCACCGCATATGGCAAGAGCGATACAGATTTCTCCCTTCGGCCACATTCCAAATGGTGGTGAAAGAAACCGCGAGAGCCGACAAGTCCAACCGTCGACACTCAGCACTAAACCGGTACAGAAGGAACTTGGAGCCGGAAACGCAAGGATCGACGAAACGCCAAACACACCAGCATCTACCACCGCGAGACAAGGCCGTAAAATAGGTGTCGTGTACCTTCCATGCTCTCGGACCAGGCCGATGCATTAAACACTCACAATAGCACACCAACACACTTGACTCATACACCCAGACAATCCCAACCGACAAAAGTAATACAATCTAGCCGAGGATGTCCGCCGGGTTGACCAGCTCCTGCGCCAACATGCCGGCGATGCCGATCATGGCCAAACGGCCGTTGTTCAGCTCCTTGGTCTTCATCACGTCCAGAGCCGCCTCGTCGTCGGGCTTGAGGTTGAGGGGGTCGAAGCCGAGGTCTCCCGGCATGTAGTCCTCCTTCAGGCCGCCCTCGCCGGTGACAGCGCTGGGGGTGTCGAACGCGGTCATGATGGTGTTGTACTCGATAAAGGCCATGCCCAGGAGGGAGAACGCCCAGAACTGAGGTTGGGGAGACGCGGGAATGATGAATAGAGAAACACATGTACGGAATGGTTGTTTGAACAAACAGCACTCGTCGACCACATGATAGGAAAGGGTGGCATCGTTGGCAGCACAGCATACACGCCGTGTCCCCTAACTCGAGTAGGTAATGCGGAAGAGGGCAATTGTTGAGTGGGTCAATCTACCGACGCCTTAGCGCGGCGTACAACTGGCTGGTCAACCAACTTAGATCAGCACGGTGGTAGAAAAAAATGGGAATGAACATTATTTATCAAAGTGTGCAGATGGTGCCTTACTGAGGTGAAAGTGGATCATACCACCTTGAAAGTTGATCATACCACCTTTAGACTCGTTTTTGGTGTGGGAAGGGGAGGACAGGAAACTCGTTGCTGGAGTCACGTGTGTACCTTCTCCAGCAATGGTCGGTCGACAAGTGAATTGAGTGTCAAATCCGAGTCGCACAAACAACTTGTCATATCCCACTTTTCGATGGCCTCACACATCAAATGTGTTTCCCCGAACAACCAGTCTCACCTCAGGGAATTGGGCACTGATCTCCTGGAAGTGGTCCACAGCGGGGCCAATGTAGTCGGGGCCCATGAAGAAAGGGTGGTATTGCTGGAGTGGGCAACGGCGACAGGGACGAGCGCGAGCACGACGCGATGCGGTGGGACGAAATGCATGACAAACACCAAGGATTCGATTACAACAGGTGTTCCGCCTACGGTAAGATTCAAGTATAACGGGGAAATACAAAACAACATGCCACCCTCTCTGAAGCCACTGTATGTGTCAATCGTATTCCAACCATCCACGCGTGCATGGTTTTCCTCACCTCTGCGACGATGACACCGAGGGACGCAAGCATGGCCACACGCCCGTGCTTGATCTCGGCCTCGCGCCACTTCTTGATGTCGCCGGGGGCGGCGCCGTCGGATAGGCCCAGGGGGTCGAAAATCTGAGGCACGAGGGCGTTGGACAGCGGTGATCAAAGACCGCAACGGGTGAGACGATTTGACCCAGAGGGTGAAATCTCACACGGGATCGCCACAATGATGGATACACTCATCTGTCGACCTCCCAATCTTTCCGCGGCATGACAAGTTTTGAGTCTGCGTCTGCGCCCAGGATGCTGTTCATATCCACATCACTACGACACAAAAAGATACCCTTGAAGCGATGTGCGCATTATTTGCCACTGTTACTGATGTAACCAGACCACATGTTCTGTGGGTACTGTAGGTGTACGTCCACAAAATACTGCTGGTCGGTGTTACACTACTCTGGAGAGAGCGAGCCTTCGGACACGGATATGTAAACGTTGCTCGAGACGGCGGTCCCGAGGGTGTTGTAGCCTTTAGACTAGATCTAGACTACACATGCATAGAAATGACCACCTTGGGTGTTGGCTCGCGCGATCACACACACAGTCATCACCTTTCCGTCAGAGAAGGGAGCTCCGGGCAGGGTTGCGACGTAGTCCGAACCGGCGCTCATCTTGAGGCCCGAGGAGGAAGGAGTAGTAATGGCAACAGATCGCACGGCCATCGGCGCGACGAAGGCAGTCGAGGAGGCGATGAGGGTGGCGGCAGTGCCGATGAACATCTGGGAGGCGACCATCTTGCTTATTTGGTGGAGTGTGGGTTGGGAGATTGGTTGATGAAGGTGGGATTGAGGGCGTGTTGTGGTTGTGGGAGGATGGGGGACAGGCGTGGGGGTGGGTAGAGATGCGGCGAGATTGTAATGTCATGAGTGATGAGCAAGAAGGGACTTGTGACACGCCTCGAAGCACGTATGTGTCCATCTACCTCATCATGTGTCGACCACGTCAGTCACTCAAACGTGATGATGGCAACTCAGCTCCCAGCCAGCAGAGCGGGTGAGTGTGTGCTTGAGCTACTGCTACAACTAAGGCTGAATCTCCTCATCATCACCCACCTACATGTCACATCGTGTATTGGTCGGCTCGCGCACAGTGGTACGTTCCAGCAGCGCGGTCCCATTTGGGGCTTTGGGGCGGGCTGTTTTTCTGCGGGGTATATATTTCAAATTTGAACCCTCGAAGACGATTGGCTGAGTACGTAGCGGAACCATACCACCATGACGTGTTTTTGAAGTACGTCACGAAATCTCTGTTCGGTCGTTGTGCGTGTTTCAGTTCGCAGTTCGCACTTTGGACACGGACTGCAAACACTGCAAGCACGTCATGATGCGGCCGCGTGCTCAGCCAATCGTCTTCGAGGGTTCGAACTTGAAATACATACCCCGCAGAGGAAAACAACCCGCCCCCGCCCCGAGTGGGACCACGCTGCTAAAACGTACCGCTGGATAGGCGAGCCAACCGATGTACAATGAGACAGGTACTGCTGTAGGTGGATGATCACCAGGAGACTCAGCCTTACTTCCTGCAGCTCAATCACATGCACGCACGCTCGATGGCTCTGCTGGCTGTGAATGGCCATCGTGTTTCAGTGACTGAGGTCGACTCATGATGTGGGTGTCATGACATATGTCCCGTCACGATGTCACATGCGTGCTTCGAGAACTCTGCGCGTCATAATATGTCCTGGCTCACACATCACACACAATCTCGCCGCATGTTTACCCACCCCCACGCTTGTCCCCCTCTCTCCCAGAACCACAGCACGCCCTCAACTCCACCTTCATCAACCTATCTCCCAACGCGCACTCCACCAACTGAGCAAGATGGTCGCCTCCCAGATGTTCATTGGCACTGCCGCCACCCTCATCGCCTCCTCGACTGCCTTCGTCGCGCCGATGGCCGTGCGATCTGTTGCCATTACTACTCCTTCTTCCTCGAGCCTCAAGATGAGCGCCGGTTCGGACTTCGTCGCAACCCTGCCCGGAGCTCCCTTCTCTGACGGAAAGGTGAGAACGCCTGGTGTTTGATCGCGTGACTGAGCCAACACGCACCTCAGGGAAGAGTTGTATGCATTGCCGAAGACTACTCATACCCTGAGAGCCGTTCGTTGACTCTCGCGACTTGTATCTTGTGTTCAAAGGGTTAGGTTTATGAACGCGGCATTAAGTTGTGGATGTGTGCTTGTTCCGACATGAACACGTGAAGTACAGCGGTATTGGTAAGTATTGCTGACATCGACAGGTATGATGACGTGATGTCTTGTGGATACATGGCGTTCTACAGCAGGAGTGCGGTGGTTCTTGAATCCACACACCGTATACTCGCATACATGTGCCGGTATTATCGGATCCAACAACACGTACCTCAATCTCTCCGGCCCGTGATGGTGACTCCTAGTGTCAGTTGTTACCTCGCATAGCGCGCAGAATGATTGAAAGACTCCAGAATATCTGGCGTTGATTTCTATTGACTTGCGGACCCCTCGGGACCAGTATATTTGAGTGTACCATTGTAGGGTAAGTTAGCCTGCGACAACGGGAATCGACCGCGTCGAGTGTTGGATCACTACGGACGTACGAAGGTACTGTGTGGAGAGACATCGGAACGGTTTTTAATGTAAAGACAACATCAACAACAACAACAACAACAACAACTCATTCCTCGTCGATCCACCTATCCAACCATCCATTTTGGTCGTGCCTCTATCCAAGGTATCCTATCCACGACGGAGAGATTGGGAATGGCCAGATGAACTTTTCATGGTGTCATATCTGATTGAGGTCTTACACTCTGGGTCAAATCGTCTCACCCGTTGCGGTCTTTGATCACCGCTGTCCAACGCCCTCGTGCCTCAGATCTTCGACCCCCTGGGCCTATCCGACGGCGCCGCCCCCGGCGACATCAAGAAGTGGCGCGAGGCCGAGATCAAGCACGGGCGTGTGGCCATGCTTGCGTCTCTCGGTGTCATCGTCGCAGAGGTGAGGCAAAACGTGCATGATTGCATACGATGGAGGCATGCCTTCAGAGAGGGTGGCATGTTGTTGTGTTTTCTCGAGCGATGCTACTGCTGTCTTGCGGTAGACACAAGACCTCTTGGTGTTTATCATGCATTTCGTCCCACCGCATCGCGTCGTGCTCGCTCTCGTCTCGAGCGATAGTACTATCTTGCGGTAGACACAAGACCTCTTGGTGTTTGTCATGCATTTCGTCCCACCGCATCGCGTCGTGCTCGCTCACGTCTCGAGCGATACTCCTTTTTGCGGTAGACACAAGCCTAGTGGAATCCTTGGTGTTTGTCATGCATTTCGTCCCACCGCATCGCGTCGTGCTCGCTCTCGTCTCTGTCGCCGTTGCCCACTCCAGCAATACCACCCTTTCTTCATGGGCCCCGACTACATTGGCCCCGCCGTGGACCACTTCCAGGAGATCAGCGCCCAATTCCCTGAGGTGAGACTGGGTGTTGGGGTAAGCATATTTTTTTTCTCAGATGGTGTGTTGAGGCAATTGAAATGTCGGATTTAAAAAGTTCTGTGCTTTGTGCGACTCGGGTTAAAACGATTTTTTACCGTAGACCTACCGTAGTCCGACAAGATACACCCGTACACATTCGTGATTCCAGCAACGAATTTCCTGTCCTCCCCTTCTAACACCGAAAACGAGTCGTAATTTCGCGGCGGTGTGATCCCACCACAGCAAAACACCATGTGCACACATCAAAGTGAAGCACATGAAGTTGTTCGCGTTGTCGTGGTGCCGCCGCGCTGGTATCAGTTGGTTGATCTAGTCAGTTGTAGGTTGCGCTAAGGCTTCCGCAGGTTGTCGGGAATCATCAAGTGCTCTTCTTCCGCAGTACCTACTCGAGTAATGTTTCTCCTGGCACGTGGATGCGGCGCTGCCAACGGTGCCACCCTTCTCCCGGCACCATGTGGTCGACGAGCGCTGTTTGTTCACACAGCCATTCCCTCTCTGTACTTTTCTGCCCGCCATTCCCGTGTCTCCCCAACCTCAGTTCTGGGCGTTCTCCCTCCTGGGCATGGCCTTCATCGAGTACAACACCATCATGACCGCCTTCGACACCCCCAGCGCTGTCACCGGCGAAGGCGGCCTGAAGGAGGACTACATGCCGGGAGACCTCGGCTTCGACCCCCTTAACCTCAAGCCCGACGACGAGGCGGCTCTGGACGTGATGAAGACCAAGGAGCTGAACAACGGCCGTTTGGCCATGATCGGCATCGCCGGCATGTTGGCGCAGGAGCTGGTCAACCCGGCCGACATCCTCGGCTAGAATGTTTGACTTTGTCGGCTGGGAGTGTCTTGGGTGTATGAGTCAAGTGTGTTTGTTGGTGTGCTATTGGAAGTGTTTAATGCACCGGTCTGGTCCGAGAGGAGGAAGGCATTTGGGAGGTGCCACGTACCTTGTTGTGCGGCCTTGCCTCGCGATCGTAGATGCTGGTTTGAAGAATGTTTCGTTGATGCTTGAGGTTCCAGCTGTAACTTACTTCTGTGCCGTAGTAGTTTTGCTGGGTGTAGACGCTTCGGCTTCTGTTTTCATGTTTCGGCGTTTTCTACTACTACCGATGGCGATGTCGACGTATACAGTGGAATCTGTGTCGCTCTCGGCTGGGTAGTAGCGAGAAATTTTGCTTGATGTTGTTTAGCCGGGGCCAGTTCCTCTCAGGCTCGTGCACAATTTTGACTGATATTTTACGTGCAAATTTCGCGAGTTGGATGTTTGTATTTGTAATTGTAAGATGTCTTCACGATCCTAGTGCGGGAAACGGATTGCTTCAACGATGGTAGCTTTCGCAGGCCGACTGGTCTTGCAAGTTCATGTGTGTAGCCAAAAAGCTTTGGTACAGGTGTTGCCACCTCGTTGTTTGATCGTTGGTATATGCTACAGGGGCTCGTGAGGTGTTTGTTGTGCATGGCTTGTGGCAAGTGGGGGCGATGTCACTGGTTTGTCACACCTGACACAAATGCCAAACTTTGTAGTTACGTGCAGTGGCGTTGAGGGTGTGTCGGGCCGTTTTCTTATTCGATGCATTATCGATAAGGTGTGTTGTTTATTTGAAGATCAGAGCCAACGTCTCGACTTTGTCGTGCACCGTGAATCGCGTTGTTTGGGAGTTGTTCCTTCCAGATAATGACCCCTCTCTGTCTTGTGTGTTGCCCTCGTCGAGGTTAGTGAGTGTTGTCGTCAACCGAATACAAATCTAACGAGCACGTCTGTATCTCACGTGACACCTGCTGGCGACAGTACTTCCGTGCTTGACGGTCGGGGGGCGAGATACTCTGCCCTACGGGTAATCAGCCCTTGACACCAGCTGGCGACAGTCCACAGAATGGGGCATGTATGCATACATCCGCCCTCACCGACCGCCATCTGTGACCCTGGCGTCCCCACTGACTACTACAGTGTGAGGTTACCGGCATGCCATACCGGAAAACAAAAAAAAAGAAGCCGCGTCTCGTTCTTTTACGTAGCCCACACAGCCAGGAATTCATTGCGGTGATGGCTATTCTATACTGTCTAGTCATGTGCAGTAGACGCACAGAACGTGCACACTGACAACGAGAAGTGTGGTACATTTGTTTCTTTTGTCGGTGGTGGGCACACCTCTCATGGTAAAGTACGGGAATATGTTCACAGCCTTCGGCGAAAGGCTTGGGAGCTGTTTTAATACGGCCACGATATAAACTGAGCATAGCCACATCATCCCATCCACGCTCGTGGCTATTGTGTTTGGCCTACTGCAAACGAAAAGCATCAAACTCACAACACGTTGTTGTGGCCACCCGACCGACCGGAAGCTCGGATTCGGCATCAACGCTACATACAACCACAGTGAGTGGAGAAACTAGTTTGGGGTTTTGGACCATGATGAACGAGTAAAATAACATGTTCCTATTTTCCTTGGTGCGAATGTTTAGTGACGTGTTGCTTGAAAGTGTTGGATTTGGTGGGGAGCCTCGTCGGAAAGTATTCAATAGAGAATTGTAGTATTAAAGGTCATCCCCCACTGGCCAATTGTCCACTCAAGAGATGTGAAAACTTCGAGCGCATGCCAACAAATCGGCAGCAAGAAGAGTCACCGGCAACGGACGGCATCGATCGGAAGCGCCAACACACCCTACCTTGCTCGTACACTACAGAAGGTACCTCTCTCTGTCTCAAGATCTCACCATCTCTCATCATTCACCCTTTTTTTTTGCACTGTACTGTAAATGGGTTTGGAAGCGATCAAAACAGAGAGTTCACTTTTTGTCCGCTGCCATCACACCCTCCCTAAAAGACTCGAAGCAGGCGTCGGGGATGTAACTATTTACTACTACTGTAGTATTATGGTAGATGAGAGCTTGTGAGAGATGGGGGGAGGGAGGTTGGAAAGTGTGGCAGCTGCGATGATTCGAGCGAACAAGACCCGTGACGAGAAATTCTCGTCAGACGCATCGCATCGATCGCCGTGACGTAAAATTTGTCGGTAATGAATCAGCTCGTCTGCGCTCACCTTTCGGCCTTCTTTCCCTTATCCCTCACAAAATCACATTGATTGGTTGAATAATTGCTACAAAAAATGACTGTTCAGCATCTCCTCGGGTGGGTGTGGTGGCATCTATTCCCGGGGACGAACACGTGAGCACTGTTTTTACGGTGGCTCGTTCTTCATTTCATCAAAACCCGTATTTACCACTCTTGAGCATTGCGAATCGAGGTCGCTAGCCGAATCCTGCACTCTCATCGATGATTGAATACTACGTACACTGATTGGAAACGTCCGCAATGAGAACAACAAGCCCATGCGTTTTGCCCCGTTTTCTTACTACGTCCAAAAACAGCGTCGTCAACGATTCCGTTAGCATCGATGTCGAACCCAATTAGATTTTCGGTTGGGCGACGTACTGTAGAAGGCTGGCGTCCTTCGCCTGCACTACATAGGCCAGGCGACAGTGGTTGTCGATGGGAGGATAGCTACACTTCACCAAATGTCTCGGCCGCATAGATATAAACTTTCAAGCCTTCGCCGCTCTCCGCGCCCTCTTTCCACACATCATCATGAGAGATGCGGCTTCCTCCATGCGTGAACGGGAAGATTACCATCACATCCGGAAATCCTACTCCACGTTAGGTGTGGTTTCACATATGCATGAGTGTGACACCTATGCAGGAGTGCGCATGAAAAAGAACTTGTTTATGAATGTCAGGTATGTTGCCGGTACGCGATGCAGGTGTTCTCCGAACCGCGTGAGCCGTGGTATTACGGGTCAGATGGCGGTGGGTGAGGGCACGTGCATGCGTGAGTCGTTTCACAAGTCCGAAGACCATCACCATGCGCACATCGTTTTACGAGTGCGTACGCTAGACCCATTACAGTGTCAATGGCGGTTGTTGCACGTGGGAGGCAGTACCGTATATGACACAAGATAACACACCCCCTGGACCGATTTTCAAAGCTCGGTTACTCCACGACGAAGGGGATGCATAAACGAAACGATTCATTTTCGAAAAGCTCTCGAAAAGACGGTTTCAACCCCGCCGTTTTCGGCGCTGTGACTGTTCCTGCAGCTGAGAAATCGAGCTTCGAAAACTGGTCAAGAGGGTGAGATATCTTGTGTCATATACGGTATACTGCCCTCCGCCATCAAGCACCCAAGCACTGCTGTCACCAGCAGGAGTCACCTAGGACAAGAATCTTTTCGTTCATTTTTTCATTGACAATAACACGACATCTACTTGTGAATAACAAAGGTCATCACCTGGATAGAACTACTCTCTAATGATACTCAAACAAACAACAAAATGTACTCAAGGGCACACGCGTCGCACAACAATTCGACGCGGCACACCTTGGACGCCGCTGCACGCAAGCTACGAGGCAGAGCATCCGTGTCAAGTGCAAGAAAACAAAGATCAAACCGCGAAGAGGCAAGGCTGCACGGAAGCTTTGGCTACATACATGCGCGTGCTGTGCCCTCTATTTTCACCACACACGTCAGACTCGCAAACACGACATTCTGGCGCGTGAAACTGCATGCTTCACGTACTCTATTGTCGCATCCCAGCTCGACCTTTCGAGTTCATGCAGCAAAGTAAGATCGTAGAGGGACTTTCAAAAACCAAACAGCCAAATGGCCAAGTAAAACAACAAAAACTTGTTCGTTAGCCTGGGCGGGATTGCCTAAACAAGGTCAAGCAAAAGTTCTCATCATAATGACATTGACAAGGGTGACACCGTTTCTGTCCTCCGCCGACATCGCAATCGGTGGATACAAAAATGCCGAATCTAAGGCTAGCCGAATCGTCGACACTCAGCACCAAACCGGTACAGAAGTAAATACAGACGGACATTTACGCATTAGCGAACACCCGATTCACACCAGTATCTACCATCGCGAGAAGACTGCACCACAAGGTACGTGGCACCTCCCAACTACCTTCCTCCTCTCGGACCAGACCGGTGCATTAAACACTCCCAATAGCACACCAACAAACACACTTGATTCATACGCCCAGACAATCCCAGCCGACAAAGTCGAACATTCTAGCCGAGGATATCGGCCGGGTTGACCAGCTCCTGCGCCAACATGCCGGCGATGCCGATCATGGCCAAACGGCCGTTGTTCAGCTCCTTGGTCTTCATCACGTCCAGAGCCGCCTCGTCGTCGGGCTTGAGGTTGAGGGGGTCGAAGCCGAGGTCTCCCGGCATGTAGTCCTCCTTCAGGCCGCCCTCGCCGGTGACAGCGCTGGGGGTGTCGAAGGCGGTCATGATGGTGTTGTACTCGATGAAGGCCATGCCCAGGAGGGAGAACGCCCAGAACTGAGGTTGGGGAGGCACGGGAATGACGAGCAGAGAGACAGAGAGGGAATGGTTGTGTGAACAAACAGTACTCGTTGACCACATGGTGCCGAGGGAATGTTGGCATCGTTGACGGCACAGCATCCACGCTGTGTCACCAGTAACTCCAGTACGTGCACGGGAGTACTTTATGCTATTTTGGACAAGCTGCAGGGGCCTTCGCGCAACGTACAATTGACTGGATCAACCAACTGATACCAGCATGTCGGCACCACATCACTGGCAACATCTCCTTACACTGTATTTCGTTTCAAGTGTACAGATGGTGTCTTGCTCTCGTGAGGTCACGCCACCCCGAGATGTAGGACTCGGGTTCGGTGCTGGAGGGAGGGGACAGGAAATTTGTTGCTGGAATCACGTATGTAAAACTTCTCCAGCAAAAGTCGGTCTACAAGAGAATTGCGTGTTTCACCCGAGTCGCCGAACTAACACCACTTGCTACATTATATTATCAAACCGGACTTCTCAATTGCCTCACACATCATGTAAGCAACAAAATGCGCCAGTCTCACCTCAGGGAATTGGGCGCTGATCTCCTGGAAGTGGTCCACGGCGGGGCCAATGTAGTCGGGGCCCATGAAGAAAGGGTGGTATTGCTGGAGTGGGCAGACAATAGAGACGAGAGCGAGCACAACGCGATACGGCGGGACAAAAATAATGAGCAACGCGGAAGACTTGATTGGATTTGCATGTGCCTGCAGCAGGATACTTGTAGTAGTATCGCTGGAGAAAACAAAACAACATGCCACCTTTTCTGAAGGCATGTATGCTCTGCCTCACCTCTGCGACGATTACACCGAGGGACGCAAGCATGGCCACGCGCCCGTGCTTGATCTCGGCCTCGCGCCACTTCTTGATGTCGCCGGGGGCGGCGCCGTCCGATAGGCCCAGGGGGTCGAAGATCTGAGGCACGAGAGTGTGAAACAGCGGGGGTCCAAGACCGCAACGGGTGAGGCAATTCAGTCCAGAGGGTAAAACCTCACACGGACACGGCACGGTGATGGATATACTCATCCGTAGAACTCCCAATCTTTCCGTCGTGGTTAGTATGCTTTGGATAGCGGCATGACGAAGTTTCGAGTCTGCGCGTGCGCCCAGGATGCTGTACATATCCAGATGACTACAACACAAAAAGATACCTTGAAGCGGTACGCGCGTTATGTTCCACTGTTTCTGATGTAACAAGGCCACATGTTCACGTTGGTAGGTGTAGACTACGCCCACAAAATAGTACTGCTATCGGTGTTCTACAGCACAGCAGTAGAGCGAGCGAGCCTCCGCACACGGGTAAACGTTGCTCGAGACGGCGGTCCCGAGGGTGTTGTAGCCTACAGACCTTCATGCATAGGGACAAAAGACCACCTTGGGTGTTTGCTCTCGCCATCACACACAAGTCATCACCTTTCCGTCAGAGAAGGGAGCTCCGGGCAGAGTTGCGACGTAGTCCGAACCGGCGCTCATCTTGAGGCCCGGGGAGGAAGGAGTACTGGCAACAGATCGCATGGCCATCGGTCCGACAAAGGCAGTTGAGGAGGCGATGAGGGTGGCGGCAGTGCCGATGAACATCTGGGAGGCGACCATCTTGCTTAGTAGGTAGGGGGTGTGTCGAAAGATTGGTTGTTGCTGGAAGGTGGGATGAGGGTGTGTTGTGGGTTGTGGGAACGATTGGGGACAGGCGTGGGGGTGGGTAAAGATGCGGCGAGATTGTGGAGTGATGAGCAAGAAGGGACTTGTGACACCCTTCGAAGCACGTATGTGTCCATCCACATCACCATGTGTCGACCACGTCAGTCACTCAAACGCGATGATGGCAACTCATTTCGCAGCCAGCAGAGCGGGTGAGTGTGTGCTTGAGCTATAGGAACTTAAGCTGAGTGTCCTCGTCATTGCCCACCTGCATGTCACATTATATATTGGTCGGCTCGCGTACAGCGGTACGTTTCAGCAGCGCGGTCCCATTTGGGGCTTTGGGGCGGGCTGTTTTCCTCTGCGGGGTATATATTTCAAATTTGAACCCTCGAAGATGATTTGCTGAGTACGTAGCGGAAACATACCACCATGACGTGTTTTTGAAGTACGTCACGAAATCTCTGTTCGGTCGTCGTGCGTGTTTCAGTTGGCAGTTCGCAGTTGGGACACGACAAGACTGCATACACTGAAAGCACGTCATGATGCCGCCGCGTGCTCAGGCATCGAGTTCGAACTTGAAATACATACCCCGCAGAGGAAAACAGCCCGCCAAAGGGGCCCGCGCTGAATGGGCGAGCCGACTTGTGGACATGCGACAGGCACTGCTGTAGGTGGAGAATGACGAGGAGACTCAGCTTGAGTTCCTGTAGCTCAATCACATGCATGCTCGATCGCTATCCTGGCTGTGAATTGCCATCGCGTTTCCGTGATTGACGAATTGGTCGAGTCATGATGTGGGTGTCATGACACATGTCCTGTCACGATGTCACATACGTGCTTCGAAAACTTTGCGCATGACGTGTTGTGGTTCACACATCACACACAATCTCGCCGCATCGTTGCCATCCCCCACGCCTGTCCCTCATCCTCTCACAACCCGCAACACACCCTCAATTCCACCTTCCAGCAACACCCAATCCCTCAACATACACCCCACATTCCAAGCAAGATGGTTCGCCTCCCAGATGTTCATCGGCACTGCCGCCACCCTCATCGCGTCCTCGACTGCCTTCGTCGCACCGATGGCCGTGCGATCTGTTGCTATTACAGCTCCTTCTTCCTCGAGCGTCATGATGAGCGCCGGTTCGGACTACGTCGCAACTCTGCCCGGAGCTCCTTTCTCTGACGGAAAGGTGAGAGAGCCTAATGTCTGATCGCGTGACTGAGCCAAAACGCACCTCAGGGAAGAGTTGTATGCATTGCTCAAGACTACTCATACCGTGAGAGCCCTTGTCTCTCGCGACTTGTATCTTGTGTCCAAAGGGGTAAGAGGTATTATTATCAGGCCGAAAAAATACGTAACTTTTTTCACCAAATAGTAACTTTTTTCACGGAACCGTAACTAGGGTTTCCGGTGCTTCTTATCGGCAGAAGGCGCGAAGGC